ACTATGGACTGGCTCCATGAATATGCGGCAAAAACAAGAAATGTGCTCATCCTTTGCTGATTATGAACTTATTTCACTTCATGAATTACATGATTGTGAAAGTGGATGTCCATTGTTACAAGAGGATCATGATGAGAACTGTACCCATCATCACTCAAAGAGGAAATTATCAAAAAAATCAAAAGGTAAATTCTCTTATTCTGTTTTTCTTTATCATTTTGAAATCTTGTTCCCATTGAATTTGTTTTGGGATGGAGCCTAAATATTAGTGCTGGGTATCGTCAATCATGTCATGATACGATAGATATCCTGATACAAGGGTCCTGATACGATAGATATCCTGATACAAGGATCCTGATATGATATATATCCTGATACAAGGGTCCTGATACGATACATATCCTGATACAAGGGTCCTGATACGATACATATCCTGATACAAGGGTCCTGATACGATACATATCCTGATACAAGGGTCCTGATACGATACATATCCTGATACAAGGGTCCTGATATGATACATATCCTGATACAAGGGTCCTGATACGATACATATCCTGATACAAGGGTCCTGATACGATACATATCGCGATATGGGGTAATGGGATAAGAATTAACATTTTATCTTCAAAGTTTCTATATATATTTGCTATGATATTTGGTAATATAGTTGATGGAAGTGGTTAGCATCCACTGTCTTATAAAAAGTTTCTAACAATTTCGTCAAGTATCAATACACTATGTCGTGATACAATACAACTATCATGGCATGTCATATCATGATACATCGATTCACCGATATATCTTGCCAGCACTTCTAAATATCAGCTGGATTTAACTATTGAAGATAGAATTTGTAATATTTCTCTTTGTCTCCTTCCTTGCGGATTCAAGAACAAGGTTACAATTTTAGTTTGTGAATTGGCTATTTGATATATCATGAGTTTCTTCTAGAGCTTATAAGCATTTTGAATGTAATAAAAATGTTGAGGTTGAAGGAAATGAGAAAGTAATGATGATATCGCATTTGTCTATGACAAATTTCTAATGTGCACTGTACTTAGTGGAATGTCTTTGTTAGCCCAGTACAAAACACTAGCTCGTTAAATTCAATTTACTTTCATGTATGTCAAATAGAAACAAATTGTATATGACAATGATCATGTTATTAAGAGAATTTTGAAAGATAATATGATGATGTTGCTGTAATCAACATTGCTGAATTGTTATGCATTCTATCCTTATTATTTCTATAGAACTAAATGCAGATATTGGCTACATAGACATTATTGGTGAACACATACAGTTACTAAGTTGCATCACATCATGAAGTCACTCTTCACTTGACTTTTCAGATGAGAGCTTCCTTGAAACTCTACTTTATTTGGACTTAAAATGAGGCGAACTGTTTTTGCTCTACCAGATTTATTTTTAACATTAAACAAACTGAGTATAAGTCAAAATCTGCATGATAGTGATGTTATGAATGTTAAAAGCCCCAAAAAAATTGTCTATTCTTTTTCTATTTGCAACTGTCAAGGGATGTGTAAGTGAATAGATATACTCTGACAGTTAAGTAATATTGGTATATAATACAAGGTTCTAAGTATGAATATATTAATATCTAATATACATACCATGTCAAATTAAGTCTGATCTATTCTCTAGGTTTATCACAGAAGTCAATAATATCTTTAAGCTTGAGTCACACTGGAGGTGAAAATTTTGTGTATAGTCCTGGGGCCTTATTCTTGAAAACTTAACAAAGATAAAAATCCAGTCCAATCAAAGGTTAATTTGACGAATGTTCAAGAGGGCTGTCGTTGGACCCAAACTTTAGTGGCTAAATTACAAATAAATGCTAAAAAAAAACTAAACCAAAGTTTGATCTATTTTTAATTAGACTGGATAAAAATCCAGATTTTAAGAAAAAATACAGTAATCTGATTGGATAATTTTAGTGAGTGACCAATCAAATGATTGGAACACTAAAATCATCTTAAGTTATGTTTTCCAGAATAAAGCCCCTGTTTATTGAAATTTCTTTCTATAATGCTTACACTTCTAATGTCACTTGCAGTTAGTAACCAATTACCCAACTGGCATTTATATTTCGATATACTGTAGTTTGTCACATGATAATATTGCTGTGAATACATTTTTAAACGAAAACTTTTACGCATATAAAAATAACAGATATAGAACACATGTGATAAATTGTATCTGTACACCAATAATGGTATTAAGAGGAACGTTTAATTCTCTAATGTCTTGACTACAGTCTGAAGATTTGCTCTGCTCCATCTCATTTCAGTCAGAAGTAGGAATTCGTGCATGTATTCTTCCTACGCATTAATCTTGATTCTGTCTGACAATGGCATGAAAATAATATTGAAATTCTTATTCAGTTGATGTTCTACATGAACAATCCATACAATTATATAATGTTAATAATAATGGACATATTATCAATGTATTTTATGAAATTCATTTGTATATCGATATTGGTTTTTGTACTTTTAAGGTTGATTTATTTATTGAAGAAGGCCTAAAAGTGAAATTGAATGAAAACCAATAGAGAGGTCCAAACCATTGAATCAAAATATAAATCAGATGTCACTGGCAAATTAAATAAAAATCATTTATTGTAATACAATGGGAAAAAATTATGGAATCGTTAAGTATCGATACACAACCTCTTGATACAATACATGTATCATGGCATTTCGTATCATGATTCATCAATTCACTTTTAGGTGAAGACTATTATTTCAGTTTTGTAACTTAAATCTTCATCATCATCTGATGTACTGGTTTTTGTCTATCATTACCAAATAAGGAGTACAAAATACTTCAAAATGATAGGGTTTTAATTTTTCTGAAGTCTATTTACTATGACAGACAATTACTGTGGTTCTAGAGAGACCAACTTGTCACAGTTATGGACAAGCTATTATTACTAGAACATAATTTCATCAAATTAGAACAGTCTGTCACTTTTAGATGGCCTCTTTTCCAGAATCATATGTTTTCAGTTGAGGTTTTGACGCTTCGATTCTGTAAGAAATAAAAAAGTAAAGAATAAAAAGAGAATATATTAAATAACTTAATAAATAAATACAAGATAAATAAATCTATTGTTGATATCTTATGCAGCTTTGATTATTTTTTGAAGATTTTAATAATATCAGCCCAGATCTATTTAGTGCATAAGCACCAGTTTATAATTTCACTATTATAGAAAATAGTGTGGTTATTTTTAACTTTATGTTATACTACTATCATTGTTTTTACACAAGATCTATTAATATATGATGTACAGAAAATAGCTTCAAATGGGAGAAGAATCATACATAGAATTTTAATGTAGATTAATTGTAGAAATATTCCGTTAAAGTTAAATATATAAGGCAAACCAAAACGTGCTTCATCAACAAAATTCACTTAAACTTCATCAATAAATTCAACATTTTATTTTAGTTTTGTTTGATTTGTTACGCAAGAGAAAAATTGATAATTAAATGGCAAATTGATTGAAAGACATATTTTGAATTCTCTTGAGATTTAATTTAATTATTTAGCAATTTAACCATTGGGGTGAGTTTATTACCTATGAAAATTATTATTGAGTGTCATTCAGGGTTGTGACAATGGGGAATTTTTATTTCCATTGACATTGGAAAAGCAGAGCGGATCCTGAGAGGGGAAGGTTTTACCTTCACTGAGAGTGGGTTCTATCGAAGGCCTACCACTTGGAGAAGATTTAATGACACTGTTAAATTGGAGGTTTTGCAATCCTTACTGAGATAAATATTCTGACCCCTACAGAAAGTGATTGAGGTTTATTGGAGGTTTTATTAAGACTGTTGGCACTGACTCTGAACAAGGGTTTCACTGACAAATTAAAGGTTTAGTTGATGTTACTAAAAAAAATTCTGATCCCTTAGCAAAGTAGAGTAGATCAGAGGTTTTATTGAGACTGTTGGCTCTGTCATTTGAACAAAGGTTTCAGTGGCAAATTTTGGTTTTACTGAGCTTACTGACAGATTATATTTTGAGGTTTTACTGTTACTATTGAAGCTCCACTGGCACTGAACTGGAAGTTTTACTTTTACTGACAGAAATAATTGACAGCAAAGGGAAAGATTCTCCAGCATTGAGCTTAGAGGTTTTACTGACATTTAACTGAGAAATTTATCAGACACAGATGGGGAAAGTTTTATTACAAATTTTGCTGATACTGTTTAGGTGCTTTCGTGATACAAAAGACAAAGAAGGGCAAAATGGCACAGATCGCTTAAATGACCAATTCAGCAGAAAAGCTGATCTGAATAGTTCTTCTCCCACCAGTCTAAGTACTGTCAATACTTGTCTGGTCTAAGTTTGATGACCGAAGTCTATGTTTACTCTAGCTGGTAATAAGATGAGAAAGAGTAAAGATTAGATGATAATGTTGTTTAAATGAAGGTATTTATTGATGATTATTGAGAGATAAAAGTTATTAATATACACATGTAATATAATTACAATAAACTGATTATTGTTTTCTCTTGTTTTACTTGTGACACTACCTTGTCTTACTGTCATCATTGTGTACCATTTTTCTCATTTGTTGAGGGTTTTTGTGATATTTTGAGGACTGTTTTAATGTTTTAAGGACTAATGATATTTTGAGGACTGTTTTAAGGATTAATGATATTTTGAGGATTGTTTTAATGTTATAAGGACAAAAGATATTTTCAAAGTAGAATTTTATGATTTTGATGCCTGAAATGGTTTTTGGAGAACTATTTGGTGCAACAGCAAAATTTTGAGGACAAACAATGATTTATGGTCCAATGATATTTCGAGGACAAATGTTATTTATAGGACAAATAATATTTTACAGACTGTAATGTTTTGATGACTTATTTTTTATCAACATAGTGAGAATCTAAAAGATTCTTGTGATTGCTTCAACAGATCTTGTGATAGTTTGTGAATTTTGAAATGGTTGAACCATGAATAAAAAGCATTTAGATACATACAGGATTAATTACCATCCATTACTCAAACCAGATTTAGGTAAAGCTTTGCTGGATTAGGAGATCGAAGTGGGCATTACTATTTATTTAAACTTGAAAGCGCTATGTTCTGAGGCACAAAGAATCATTGGTTTCAAAAAATCCAATCTAAGTTGGTTCTATACTAATTTTCTTGGCATTGACCTTTTTTGGATTGTCAACGCCTATTAACAACTGGGTTGTCTTGGATACTGTTTAGACATGATAGGTGATAATTGCCTGGAAGATAAACCCATTAAATTTTATCCATTACCACTTGCTGTGTGGGTTATATTCCAATTCAAATATTTCTTGTATTTAACAACATGAAAATCGTGAAATTCAAATTCTTTTTGCCCTGCACCAGTACCTTCTGTTCTATAGTAACTTCTTATGTTTTTCAACCACCCTTTCAATGTTACCTTCTGCCCATTAGTACTTGCTAATTTGCAACCACCCAAACCTGTATTTTTCAGGAACCAGAAGATCTAGTATAGCCTCACTATGGAGTAAAGATTCTACCACCTCTAAAAGAAAGCCTGTAGTAGATCTGAAAATTGACAATGTCTCTAATGAGTTACGTTTTCACCCTCCGGTACCAAGCCCTGGTATGCTTAGTACACATTCTATGTGGAGCACCAGTGACTTACTACTCTCACCTAGTCCTAGAGGACAGAGGAAAGATCCAGACTCTATTTCAAGGTAAGCTTTTTAATATTTATAAAACAAACCTTGGGAAAGTTTCCAAATATAAACAAGAATTAACTCTTATGTACTGAAGTAGAATGAAAAATAATATACATCATAGAAATCAGAGCTTGTGTTAATACTTACATAGATCTAGGTATTACAGTGGCTCCATTTGATCACATTGGCTTATTGGGGGCTTACTGAATGCCTATTCAGGCGCCAGTACCAGAAAAATGCAATGACAGTGATATACATTTTTTTTTTATTTTTGAAGAAATGTATTGGGTAGTTATCTTATGCTTTACCAATTAAGTACGTCAATTCAAATCTGAATTCATTTTAACATGCTTTCATCTGTATAGCACCTTGAAGCATATATATTAATAATATAGAAATATTAAATATGTCAGATATAGAAATAATATAGAAATAATATAGAAACAGATCCTGAAATATATCATTGCTCAGAGTATCTTGCTGTGCAATTTACGGTCAACTAGATTATTTCTATTGCTCTGCAATCAATAATATGAAACACTGTTATCACAGAGAAAATGCTTGTTTTATTTCTATATGATATAATAGGATTAGGATTGCAGGCAAATGGTGCTGCAGGGGTATAATATATTTTAATTTTTGACAAACTTTACTTCTTAGATCATTAAAAAAGTAACATTTGTAATTAAAAGCAAGCAAAGATAAAATAAATTCTCTGTGACACTGTGAATGAAACAATTTAATTAGAAATTTAAACATTATTGGCTGTTGGCACGTTGGATCAGTTCCGTCTTTCCTGTTTTTCCGTGTGTTATCACTTAAAGTTTAAGATATTCTAAAGGAATCAGTTACTACTTCAATTTATTGGCAATTACTTTCTTGCTCTAATTATGTACTTTGATACTGTATCTGTTGTGTCATTGAGTGTGTCAATATAACTCTGTTAAAAGGTAATAGAGAAAAGCAATGTTCCCAATACACATTAAAAGGTTAGAAAACCTTGTATGAATCCCTTCAAATGTAGGCCTGTCAGGAGATAAAAGAGAAAAACAACAATTGATTTAATGAGTGTTTCCTGATTACTTGTTCAACATATTGTAACTAAATACACTTACACAGATATAGCTCGTTAGAAATTTGAAATCAAATGAATCTCAGTTATTCTCCTGTGAGATATATAATGTCCCTAATACACATATAAAGGTTAGAAAATCTTTTTGAATCCATTCAAATGCAACATCTATAGTGAGTTAGTCTCCTGCAAGAAAGATATTCTACCTAAGGATAGATAAAGAACAAGGAAAAGGTTTATGTAGTAATCTCAGTTGAATCCTAAATTATCACATTTTTTCCCTCGAAGATATCTTAATTTAGTTTATTTTATACGATCTCTTGGGATCTCATTATTGATCCTTCATGGATTATCTGTTCACATCTTCAGTGACATTTTACTTCTTACGCACAAAACAAAAAATAAAAAGATAGAAGTGTGCAAAATTAAATCAAGACAGATAAGGAATCGTGCAAGTATAAATTAACGTCTGTCTATTCGAAGTAAAGGTAATTAAATTTGTTGAAGGAAATCCAAGATTTGTAACTGACATTGCAGATATCTAGTCAGACATGCCTGGCAAGTAGTTGAACAGCCCAGGTAAATACTAATGTTGTATTTGGTCTTGACCTATTTGTTGAGTTATTTAGTGCAGATCACAGTGAAGTATGCATAATTTATATTACAAACTAATAGAGTGTAACTAGAATTAGACTTCTAAACATTGCCTAGCATCTCTTACTGTTTCATAGTTTTTCACATAAATGCTCTATGTGTTTGGTGCGTTTGCCCTTCAACAAATTTGCATTGTCATGAAAGCATATAAACATTTAGGGATGTAGTTTATCAAATTTTCACGTTGTATATTTCGGTGTTAAAAAGCTTTTAAGAGAATCAGTATTGCAGTAAAAAAAAATTATTTGCATTAGTGTTGCTATGGTAAATTTTCTTCCAAGAGTGTTACAACTTTTAGAATAATTTGATTTAGAATACATCTTCAATTGTTCTCAACACGTCTTACTCCTATCCATCATGTAGGAAAAATATGCAATTTTGTAATGGTTAGTAAACATTGACACAATTTTCTTTCCCTCTCATCAATTATTGTCAAAACTTGAGAACTTTCAAAATGGCCGCCATTGAATTTGAAGCACTAGAAAGATGTAAATTTTGATGTTGTTTTAATGCGTAAGAATTAAGATTCTGTATTTGATCAATACTAGGAGATAGTATCATTAGTTAAGTTGTAGACTACCCTCGGGCGTAAGGAAGACTGAAAGTGTTTTCATTGATTATGACCACAGTCTTTACTCAAGATGTCCTATTCATGATACACTTGTAATGAATCATTGTTGAATTTAAGTAATTGCCGTTCTTTCATCTTGAAAACATTTTCCCATGTTTCTCTTTGAAATATTGATACATCTCATCTGATGATCTTAAGCCCATAGCTATAGGGGGACAATCTCCACCAAAAAATAGATTGTACTCTTAAAAAATTCTGACAACCGACTAATTCCATTACTACAACTAAACACGATACACCATTGCCCCGTCTGGATTTATTACTTGCTTCCTACAAACAATCACATGGCTTCACCACATCTAATGCTGTTGACATGTGTTTCAATATAAGAAATCATTAAAACAGCTGGTATGGAATTTAAATGGTGCTCTACTAATTTGCAACTAATCAACCAAAGATGATCTGAATTTGAATCAGTTAAGGAACATCTTGTTAAGTACCTTGATCAATTCTCATGGGGCAAGTTGTTTTGAAGTCCTAGATAATTAATAAACTATATTATTCTATAAGTAAACTTCAATTTATGATGTCCATAACTATTCTGACGATTACATTACAGTTCCCCTACACAAAAGACTGTCCATTACTACATGTGATCTGTCCTAGCTATGGATTCAAATATGAGTTGTTCTCATGAATGCATTTTACAGACAAATTCAATGAAATAAAAGGGTCCAAATGGCTCCTGTGGAACAAAGATCAGATCCCATGTTTATATTTATTTCTCATTTGAAGAAATTGTATGAGAAAATTATCCCAGGCTCAAGAATGAGAATGAAAATCATTATTGTCAAGAGCTCATATGTTTCATCTCATGTTTCTAATGCAAGATCAAAGAGTTATAATTGGTTGTCTTTGCATACAGAACCAAGTTTTCAGACTTTACATTGCTGCAATTACTAGTGCTTAATGAAATTCACTGTCTGATTAGAAATTCTGCTTGGGCACTTTGTCTGAATGTTGGTGCTATTCTTGAATCAGTTGAATTATAGACTAGGCAATCAAGACTAAACAAATTGGTGAGCTTGATTCACGTTGGTCAAAGGTGAAAATTAATGAAGTTTACAGTTTGATCAATTGATTCGAATGAAGCAAGGGAATTAATGACTCTTTTCAATTCAAGGAGGAAATTAGGTTCTAATTCGATCAGAGTTAGTTACCAAGTATATTCCTTTGTATGTTGTTATCCTTGATGAAATTATAGTCCTTGTTGATTGTTATGAACTTGATTATCATGCTCAAGTTATGCTATTATAACAATATAAATTAATTAATCTTCGTTTGGACCGTTTATGATGAAAACCAATCAATCAGAGTTGTCCACTTTGTTGATAGCCTTGTGGATTAACATCACTAGAAATCATGCAGTTCTGAAAATCACTTTCCAGAAAGCATGCAAATTCTTTATCATTTGATGACAGATTCTTATAAAGACACTGTGCAACTGTAAAGAACTCCAGGAAAAATCAGCAAGGATTGTTGATGTTTTAATGAGTTTTATAGTGGCGGTTTCTTGAAAAAATTATATCATTGGATTACTTAAAAAAGAACAAAAATGTTAAACATTGGACATATAATAAATTTTGAACTGAAGACATGATGCTGATTTTTGGATTTCTTTTGATGGATTTATATCGTCTTTTGATGGATTTATATCGTCTTTTGATGTAGGTTTTTGGATTTAGTTATCATACTAATACTAATTGGATTGTGCATTTTTCCGATTTGCTTTCTCTGTGAAAAAATTGATTACTTTTTACTTGATGTTCTACATGATGTGAATTTTGTTTCAAAACAATGGCTACAATAAATATTATATTATGAACCTACTGTGAACTTATAAAATAAAATATCAGATTCTGAATGGAGATCAAATATTAGAAAGTGGATTATACGAAAAATGGAAGTTCCATGCCAACAACCAGGGTAATGCATAAAATTGATTTGTTCTACTTATCTTTTGTTTTCTTGAATTTCAATAGATTAATTTAGTTCATTTATAGATTACAGTGGCTACATATGGTTTTGTTCAAATATTTTAGAAAAATGTGTCAAGTAGTTATCATGATTGATGATATTCTTGTCATGTTCTTGACAACACGTCAAGGGCTTGCGATAATAAGTCTAAGGTTTAAATCACGATAAATCCAGATAAATTTCCACTGCAAGAGCTAAATTAAGTGGCAAGATTCAAAAGCTCAGTTACTACAAATGATTTAAAAAAAGAAAAATGAAATCAACGTTTGAGTTCTACATCACGATAAATCCTAAACTTGAGATAAATTTTCACTTCAAATAAAAACATGATCAAATCATGTGGCAAGATTCAAAATCTCAGTTGTCGCAAATAATTCAGCTAAAACAACATGGAGTCAGCTCGTTGAGTTTTAGGTTTTGCTCTTCTTCACCATAGAGAAATATTGCTTGCAATTAGAAGAAGTATGTTGACATCTAGAGACTCAGTTACCTTAGGCACTAGACTTAATTATCACATCATTACTTTAACATAGCTTTCTTTAACGACAAACTTAATTACAGTAGTCACTCAACTTGAAAAATTCTTGAAAAAATCAGCCTATGTAAAAATCTATTAAGTTTGTCTCATTGGGATTTAAAATCTACATAAAGGTTTAGAAAAAGATTTAGTAGTGCCTTTTCTCTTGTACAGTAGCATTCAGGATTTGAACCCATGGATTTATTTGCAATGTTAATAAATTTTTTTATCAAGAGTTACATGTATACAGTAATATTGCCCTTGGTATTCGCTATTTTGTTTTTCTTCCAGCACATGTCAGTGCCTCCATCAATTTTCAATTATATTTGGTATTTTTGATGATAAAGAAAACACAAGTTATATAAGGTATTTGGGACTGCAGTTGTTGCAACTCAATAATTCAGTTATGCATTGTTAAACATAACTTTGCTCTGATACAGGTGATGACAATCTACTATGATATCTGTCTGTATGGTAAATTATTTAAGTCTAGATGTGATTCTAGATGAGTGTCTAGATGAGATTCTAGATGAGAGTCTAGATGAGATTCTAGATGAGAGTCTAGATGTGATTCTAGATGAGAGTCTAGATGAGATTCTAGATGAGAGTCTAGATGTGATTCTAGATGAAAGTCTAGATGAGAGTCTAGATGAGAGTCTAGATGTGATTCTAGATGAAAGTCTAGATGTGATTCTAGATGAGAGTCTAGATGAGAGTCTAGATGAGATTCTAGATGAGAGTCTAGATGAGAGTCTAGATGAGAGTCTAGATGTGATTCTAGATGAGAGTCTAGATGAGAGTCTAGATGAGAGTCTAGATGTGATTCTAGATGAAAGTCTAGATGAGAGTCAAGATGTGATTCTAGATGAAAGTCTAGATGAGAGTCTAGATGTGATTCTAGATGAGAGTCTAGATGAGAGTCTAGATGAGATTCCAGATGCAGTAATGATCAAGAATAAGATATTGATTTTTACCATTTAAAAGATGTATTTAAAATTCCACACCATGTGTCTGATAAATTGACATGATTTTTTTTTTGATGAGTTTATAGTGAATCTAAAGGCTGTCTGGTGCCAAGATGGCAGAAAGTCAATTTCTAAATGCTATATTCCTATCAATCCATCATGATTAATGTCAATTATTGACATTCAAGGTCAATTCACAACTCTTAACTGACAATTAGATCTAATATAAAGAGTTTAATATAAATAGTTTATTTAAGGTAGTTTTGGATGATAAAAAGTTATTCTGTCTCAATTGATAATAGAATTGTTTTATTTCTGTGATTAAGTAAGGTTTTAGTGTTCAATCTGTATATACCTGTACCTAATCAGGTACACAAGAGATGAGCATTAACTACGACAGTGATTTCATTGCAAAATAGTCGAATAGCAAAATTTTGAGGCATTTTCCGGGAGACAAACAAACAAATTCATTGAATTATTGGGAAAATGAAAGGAATATCATGTATTTTGGATTTCTTAGGAATTTTTTTCTGTGTCAGCAATACATAAACTTCCAATACCTGTTCAATATGATATGCTGAAAGCTTTTATATTGTCTTATATTGTCTTTCAAATAGTTCTATTGATTCAACAGTTTTCATTTGTTGACAAGATCTGTTTTTAAACCATCTGTAGGCTATTTGTCTAAGTGTTTATGTAAATAGAAGAACTTCTTATTGTTATAGCCTCAAACCTTCTCCAAGTTTCAAAGTAAAAAATCTGTTGATAACAGTGAGATTTTATTGAATAACATGATGTTTCCTGTAAATTTTGTTTATATTATCCATATTAGAGTGAAATTGTCAATGCTAATAAGTATATAAAAGGGATTGTAAAGAGGTTTTCTAGTATTTGTCTGAGTGTTGAAAACACTTATAGCTTCCAGAATTGCTATTCTGTTATCCCAATTGGCAACTGTAGGTCCTTAATCATAGTGTAGTGATAAATTTCACTCATACCAGAGCCACCATGGATGGGAATCGCATTCGTGCAAATGAAAGCTATTCTTGAACCTTGAACACATACAAAGATCAGATGACCTCTTTACCATCAAAGATTCCATAGCATTTAATCAAAAGATCAGAAACTGATTGTAGTGTAGTAAACAAACTCTGCATGTTTTTAATCTTCAATTACATGGCAATTTTCTCTGACTGTGCATTTCTTTTGATTTATAATTAGCACTGCTAAGTTGGCTTTGATGATTTAAGTTATTCATCATAACAAGGTATTGATGTCTTAAAGTGTTTGAATAACATGTGATTGCCTATTCAATGTTTGATTCAATCTTTAAGATTCAATATTTTCTGAATTGAATAAAATGGACTATTATATTTTATTTTCTAATGGAAGCGGGCAGTGACTTGTACTGTATGATGGATACAATTTTGAGAGGGCAGCTAAAGTAATCTACTGTTCTTGATTTCCAACTGTCAGGCATAGTCTGTGGCACACATGGCCTTGATTTCTGCTTGGAATAACCCAAGACCTCCAGGCTTATGAGCAAGAGTCCAATTCACTACACTGTGACACCCAAAATTTTTATCAGATTTTGGCGTCAATTATTAAATTGGCTATTATACTTTTTCGCCAAAATGAAATAAATTCTACTCATTATTGATAAGTGAATGAATGAATTCTGTGATTGAATCCCGGAACATTAATGGGAGGTAACTCTTGCAATAGGTAGAAAGGAAAATACCAGGTTTATGGTAACAGACAAACAGAACTTTCAAACTGTGAAAACATCAATACTTCCATCTTTGTTGGGTTGGAACACTGTTTTATATTTGTGGCTGTGGAATAGCACAGTCGGCGAATAGGTGCTGTTGGTTAGAATTCTTCTTAAGGTACATTTAGTTCATTATGGCAAGACGTGTGCTTCAAATACATGGTTGTCTGGTGTTCATTTTCAACCCCTATCATAAACACCTTAAGAAAAGGTTTAGAAAGAACATCCTAAAAAAAACATTCAAATCGAGAGTTGGTTTATTTTGCACTACATATGTATAGCGTAATGTTCCATATTCCATTGTAAAGCAAATATCAGTAAAATAATATTACCTGACAATGATTTTGTATAATGGGAAACAACTCTGTATGAATTCAACTTTACTGACGCACACTCGCTCCACAAATTAAAAAGATATTTATTTCTATGTTACCAATTATTGGAAGGCCCTGGGAATGTCTGAAAATAGCACAGACTTCCTAAATTTACAATCATTTACTGCAGAATTTTTCTTGGGTGGAAGTGGGCTGAATCCATACAAGCAGAGTTGTTGTTGTACTACATCATTTGACTCTATTGTCTGGGATATTAAAATTTGATTCAGTTTTTATCAAATAATGTAGTCTACCTTGTCTTATGAATCAAACATGAATAAGATATTTTTTTGAATATTTAAGATATTTTCTTGTCATTTTACTGGAAACATTAGGCGTATCAAAAGATGTATTGAGATGAAAGAAACCTTTCTTTAAATTGCTAGTCTGATTTTGGCAGGTTGTTGACATGGCTTGTGTTAGAAAGGGTTTAATGTCCACCAAGTTTTCTTAAGTGTGTCTGATTTGAATCTCGTTCATTTCTCTGATGTTGTGTTAAAAAATGTCATCAAATGCTGATGAAATTGAAATAGATTGTCTGAGGTTTTTGGCTTGAGTTTTAGAATGGTTGAATTCATCTTACACAGAAACATTCAGCTTGTTAACTTTAGTTAAGTTGATATCAATCAAGAAATTATTATTCAATTATTAGTTTTCCCTTGAATAAAGATATTAGGAAACTAGTCTCAGATAGATTAAGATATTAAAGAATTTCTCAATCTAAATCACAAAATCTATCAAAATACAATACAATAGAATGGTCAGAGTGACAATGATATAAAAAATATTGACCGAGCATGGTTCAAGACCCTGCTTGCTACAGGCTGTGCATATTAAAGATCCTTAGATATTTTGAAATCGACAAAGATTGGGCTATGCCACTTTCCTGGCAAAATGTCCCCATTGCACAATGCCGTCTTTCACAGCCCAATTTCGGTGCAGACAAGTATCATGTTAAACTTTCATTCATTTCAAATAATACATTAAGAATCATTAACACTCAATATATTGTTTCAAAGTGAATTTTATAGGTTGAGAACTTAGCGATATTAATATTGGTCTTCTATTTCAAGGAAAAAATAAATCTCAAAATCTCAAGATACAGCTATCCTGAATTTAATTTACACAATCAGAGACAATCTTTAATCTCTGTATTAAAAGAAATAAAAGTGGCAAAATATACAAATATCTTAACTCTGATCTTGGAGGACCAAATTAACAAATGATGTCTTAGAAATAATATAAGAGAAGCCATTTTGGTGAGATATCGCTGAGAACCGATTGTCAATAATAAATTATGAGCACTTACAGTGGAAATAAAAGTAAATTGGTGTAATAAATCTTTAAAAACTGGAGATTTAGATGTAAAATAAAGTTGGAACACCATTATTACAGTAGACAATAAGAACCAACTACTACAATGATACACTTGGAACTCTGTAAAATTATAATAGATTGCTTAAAGATCTTTCACTTTGATAGATTCTCAAACTATTTCTCAATTCTTTTAACAGTTAATGGAAGATACAAGAATAGAACTAAAGAAGTAATAGTTCAAAATGAAACAATGTGATTTAAAAGGCATCACATAAAAACCTGTCCATTGTAATAACTCAGTTGCATTCATGATGTTAATGCTCTGCATTTTAAAAAAAAAAATGGAAATGGATACCTTTATTGAACATTTCATTACTACAGATCTGAGATCTGCTAAAGATATAAAAATAGCGCTAGTAGAATATAACCAATTAATTTAAATTGCTCTTGCTTCAGGCATTTATTGTCTAATTTGTTACAAATATAAGCTTACATACATGTACAAGATTTTGTCTGGAGATTCTTGTGAGAAACATGCAGTATGTCAGTTGTATCGGAAGTAGGGAGGCTTTAAAGGCCGGTTTATACTATGCTAAGCGAAGCAGTGAAGCAGTAAAGCGTGGGTTTTTCTTCGCTCGAGCGTAGCAAGCTTTAAAGCTCAGCTATGAAGCAAAGTTTCACCTGCATTTTACTTTCGCAAGTTCATTTTCAAGCTAGGCGAAGGAGCAGGATGTTGTCCTACTTCTTAGCTTCAGTTTGGTCTCTGGAATCAATCAGATACAGACGAAACAAACTAGCGTTGACAACTTGTTTTGACATCACGAAGCAAAGTGCTGCGCAGCGAATCAAGATTCCTTTATCTGCGCTTCGCTCTTTCGCTTAGCGGGGTATAAACCGGCCTTAACACTTAAAATCACTTTGGCATTGCTCATTCAACAGTGGCATTTTTATAAATCATTAGATTTCCTGACAAGGAAGACTCAGTTAATGGGAACCATGCCATGTTCCCCACCTGACGAAACGCCACTGTTGTTGAGACAGAACTACTACTTTTACTTCATTATCCAAACACTGGACACTGATCTACTCGGATAGTTAAGGAGATTTAATGGAAAGATTCCAAAGTTCTCACTTTAAACTAAGATACAGAGATTATGTTTTTCTTTCATTGTATTTGTTTGAACTGTGATCATGTAAAAGGGTTTCTATTGGAAATCTGACAATCAGATATTAAAAGCAACTTGTTTGAGAACTGGTCATGTGGAATGGTCAGTCGTGGCCACAGTAGAAAGTTTTATATCCGATCAATTCTCCAGATAAAGATAACTTTTCATCACTCCAAATCTCTTTCAACAAAAGGATTTTGTTTGATTGTTGCGCTAGATGGAGTTTCTAATCATAAAGATAAAAAAGGAGTATACCTCATCACTTTCCGATCGATAAATTTAATTTTCGTCCTTTGACGGGAACAAGGATATCCAAATTTTTCTTATTGAAAAGGAATTATTTGAAATTTGAAACGTCAATAATTAAGAATGGTATCAGAAGATGGTA